GTAACACACTTAATCATCTCACAATGGAACTAATGTATACTGGGTGGTACGAGTAACACACTTAATCATCTCACAATGGAACTAATGTATACTGGGTGGTACGAGTAACACACTTAATCATCTCACAATGGAACTAATGTATACTGGGTGGTACGAGTAACACACTTAATCATCTCACAATGGAACTAATGTATACTGGGTGGTACGAGTAACACACTTAATCATCTCACAATGGAACTAATGTATACTGGGTGGTACGAGTAACACACTTAATCATCTCACAATGGAACTAATGTATACTGGGTGGTACGAGTAACACACTTAATCATCTCACAATGGAACTAATGTATACTGGGTGGTACGAGTAACACACTTAATCATCTCACAATGGAACTAATGTATACTGGGTGGTACGAGTAACACACTTAATCATCTCACAATGGAACTAATGTATACTGGGTGGTACGAGTAACACACTTAATCATCTCACAATGGAACTAATGTATACTGGGTGGTACGAGTAACACACTTAATCATCTCACAATGGAACTAATGTATACTGGGTGGTACGAGTAACACGCTTAATCATCTCACAATGGAACTAATGTATACTGGGTGGTACGAGTAACACACTTAATCATCTCACAATGGAACTAATGTATACTGGGTGGTACGAGTAACACACTTAATCATCTCACAATGGAACTAATGTATACTGGGTGGTACGAGTAACACACTTAATCATCTCACAATGGAACTAATGTATACTGGGTGGTACGAGTAACACACTTAATCATCTCACAATGGAACTAATGTATACTGGGTGGTACGAGTAACACACTTAATCATCTCACAATGGAACTAATGTATACTGGGTGGTACGAGTAACACGCTTAATCATCTCACAATGGAACTAATGTATACTGGGTGGTACGAGTAACACGCTTAATCATCTCACAATGGAACTAATGTATACTGGGTGGTACGAGTAACACGCTTAATCATCTCACAATGGAACTAATGTATACTGGGTGGTACGAGTAACACGCTTAATCATCTCACAATGGAACTAATGTATACTGGGTGGTACGAGTAACACGCTTAATCATCTCACAATGGAACTAATGTATACTGGGTGGTACGAGTAACACACTTAATCATCTCACAATGGAACTAATGTATACTGGGTGGTACGAGTAACACACTTAATCATCTCACAATGGAACTAATGTATACTGGGTGGTACGAGTAACACACTTAATCATCTCACAATGGAACTAATGTATACTGGGTGGTACGAGTAACACACTTAATCATCTCACAATGGAACTAATGTATACTGGGTGGTACGAGTAACACACTTAATCATCTCACAATGGAACTAATGTATACTGGGTGGTACGAGTAACACGCTTAATCATCTCACAATGGAACTAATGTATACTGGGTGGTACGAGTAACACACTTAATCATCTCACAATGGAACTAATGTATACTGGGTGGTACGAGTAACACGCTTAATCATCTCACAATGGAACTAATGTATACTGGGTGGTACGAGTAACACACTTAATCATCTCACAATGGAACTAATGTATACTGGGTGGTACGAGTAACACACTTAATCATCTCACAATGGAACTAATGTATACTGGGTGGTACGAGTAACACACTTAATCATCTCACAATGGAACTAATGTATACTGGGTGGTACGAGTAACACACTTAATCATCTCACAATGGAACTAATGTATACTGGGTGGTACGAGTAACACACTTAATCATCTCACAATGGAACTAATGTATACTGGGTGGTACGAGTAACACACTTAATCATCTCACAATGGAACTAATGTATACTGGGTGGTACGAGTAACACACTTAATCATCTCACAATGGAACTAATGTATACTGGGTGGTACGAGTAACACACTTAATCATCTCACAATGGAACTAATGTATACTGGGTGGTACGAGTAACACACTTAATCATCTCACAATGGAACTAATGTATACTGGGTGGTACGAGTAACACACTTAATCATCTCACAATGGAACTAATGTATACTGGGTGGTACGAGTAACACACTTAATCATCTCACAATGGAACTAATGTATACTGGGTGGTACGAGTAACACACTTAATCATCTCACAATGGAACTAATGTATACTGGGTGGTACGAGTAACACACTTAATCATCTCACAATGGAACTAATGTATACTGGGTGGTACGAGTAACACACTTAATCATCTCACAATGGAACTAATGTATACTGGGTGGTACGAGTAACACACTTAATCATCTCACAATGGAACTAATGTATACTGGGTGGTACGAGTAACACACTTAATCATCTCACAATGGAACTAATGTATACTGGGTGGTACGAGTAACACACTTAATCATCTCACAATGGAACTAATGTATACTGGGTGGTACGAGTAACACACTTAATCATCTCACAATGGAACTAATGTATACTGGGTGGTACGAGTAACACACTTAATCATCTCACAATGGAACTAATGTATACTGGGTGGTACGAGTAACACGCTTAATCATCTCACAATGGAACTAATGTATACTGGGTGGTACGAGTAACACGCTTAATCATCTCACAATGGAACTAATGTATACTGGGTGGTACGAGTAACACACTTAATCATCTCACAATGGAACTAATGTATACTGGGTGGTACGAGTAACACACTTAATCATCTCACAATGGAACTAATGTATACTGGGTGGTACGAGTAACACACTTAATCATCTCACAATGGAACTAATGTATACTGGGTGGTACGAGTAACACACTTAATCATCTCAAATTGAAACATTCAACATATATATTACGAGTAACACACTTAATCATCTCAAATTGAAACACTCAACATTATTTTCTGAGACATAAGAGAAAATGAAACAATCAACGGTTTCAGACTTTGTCAATTCGACAAGATCAAGAAGATTATCATCATCTCAATCTGAAGTTAGGAATGCTCAACGCCAAGCCTTATAATGCTCAAGGATAAACATCAAGTTATCGTATCATAAAAACGTACATATGTAGTGTACTATAGATAAGGCATTTAAACATTAACTAAACTACCGGTTAACCGGTCAATCGGACGACAGATTATCAGAGTAACCGCTTAGGCAAAACTGTTCGATTTGACAACACTATTATATACATATATATATATATATTTATAAGTACGTCTGAACCAGTGACAACTCTACAACAGATTTATCCATCGGATCACCAGCAGTGATGGTGATACATGGCTGTGTACATTCTGTATATACAACTCGTCTAAACATCAGCCCAATATGTTAGATCTGTAAATTTGCTTTCGCAAATTTTTTGTTCTTCCCTCTATACATAAAAAAGTCTAAATTGAAAACCTATGATTGCGTTGGATAAAAACCGCAATTTTTATACGTGTGCATGAAAAACAAATTTCTTGGTAGAGGGGTCTAAATACAGCACAAACAACATTTTCCAAAAAACCAAAAAAGTGAAAGAGTATATTTTAACAAAACGCATTTGACTAGCAGGTCGAACAACGGATGTTCTTAAACCCTGCTGACTGCCATTGGCGATAGCCAAATAAACGGATCACCAGAAGTATATATGCACATTCACGGTTCTACAATCTGTCGATACCAGCAATTTGGCATTGCACAAGGTCCTGTTTTCTCTAGACTCTTAATGACGTCTTTACACTAAATCAATTGGATGTTGGGTCTTAGATACATGATTTTATCTATTAGTTGTTTCTGGCTTTGCACTAGCGGTCAGTAACTGCGAGTTCTCTCCAGATCTGTACTTTTTGCTGTGGGGATGTATAAATACCCCGTCACGTCCTGTCTGCGTTTTTGTTCGTTGTTTTTCTGCTTTGTATCGATCTGATGAGTTGAGCCCTTTTCAACTGATTTTTATAGTTTGTTCATAGCTGTTCTGTTACACCACTGCCACAGGTTAGGAGGAGGGTTGGGCACCCGCTAACATGATTGACCCGGCACATTCTATATGTGCCTGTCCCAAGTTACAGAAATCTGTAATTCAGTTGTTGTAGTTTGTTGCTGTATATCATATTTGTATTTTGTTCATTGTTTTTCTACATAAATCAGGCAGCGTTTTTTTCGTTGGAATTGTTTTACATTTGTTATTTCGGGGTCTTTTGTTAATAATGAACAAAAAGGTTAAACATGCTACACCGAGGAACAAGTGATCAATATGCTGGAGTTTCATATTGACAACATATTTGTTGAATTTGTTCACACATTGTTGTCAACATAATGGAATTTATGCGACTGTCATTACAAGTGGGAGGTTTAGCTAGCTATAAAACCAGGTTTAATCCACCATTTTCTACATAAGAAAATGACTGTACCAAGAAGGAATGTGACAGTTGTTTTCCATTCGTTTGATGTGTTTGAGTTCTTGATTTTGCCATTTGATAAGGGATTTCCCGTTTTTGAATTTTCCTTGGTGTTCGGTATTTTTGTTATTTTACTTTTAATAGCCGACTATGCGGTATGGGTTTTGTTCATTGTTGAAGGTCGTACGGTGACCTATAGTTGTTAACTTCTATGTCATTTGGTCTCTGGTGGAGATTTGTCTCATTGGCAATTATACCACATCTTCGGATCTTTTATATTAGCGAATCGAGTTTTGTTTATAGTTTGTTATTATGCCTTGTAAATATTTCTCGACCTGTATCTGTTAGGGAACGACCATTTAACTTCAAAGGGGGGGGGGGGGGGGGGGGTATGGTTTTTTCCTAAAAAAATATTCTGATCCCAAGTTTGATGAAAAAAAAAAATATTGTGGTCAAGCAGATGACAAAGAAAGTTTTCTGATTCCAGATTTTCCCCATACCTTATAGTGTTAAATTTTGAAAAAAATTTCTGACTCAAACAAAAAACAAAAAACCATACCCCCCCCTTGAAGTTAAATGGTTGCTCCCTAAATACAAAGAAACACATATATGTACAATATATCCAAAAATATATAAGTAAACACCAAATTTCACATATTTGTACAATATAAACAAGAATTCATAAGTAAACACCAAAGCTCACATACATGTATAATATATACAAGAATTATAAGTAAACACCAAAACTCAAATATATGTACAATATAAACAAGAATTACATGTAAACACCAAAAATCTCATATATGTACAATACATACAAAAATTATCAGTAAACACATTAGCTCACATATATGTACAATATAAACAAGAATTATCTGTAAATACCAAAACTCACATATATGTACTATATAAACCAGAAGGGGAAGTGTTGTTATGTTCTTGAAAACAACTGATTTATTTATTAATCATATAAATCTACCATTTTTTTAATTATTTAAACTTTCCTGTTCAACTCATAATTTCTTTGCATTTCAAAATATTTGGTCTTTGCAATACATTTTCATCCGTTAGCTTTTTCTTATTTATTGCAAATGTTTATCATTCTAGAATATGGTTTTCAACACCAAAATAGTTAATATTGCATTAGAAACATATACTTCAACATTCCACCGACCTGTTTCTATTAAGACCATTCTTAAACTCAAAATTTTCTTTAAACATTCTATAATTTAAAGATTTTGGTGAATTTACCATAAGTTATAATGTAATGCCATTCCTATCTAAATTCGATATGTAGGCGCATAAGTACTGAAGACATAAGCCAATCTGAGTTAGGAACAAGCTGGTCTGTCATAATATAGGAATAGCCAGTATCACCAAACACTGTTCAATTAACTTTAATCATGGGATTCAAAATGATAGGCGACCGACAATTTGCAAAATCATAATTGATACGCTAAATAAGAAAGTTTTGAATCCTTCCCGGATAAAAGTCAAGCCTAATATGCAATCATTCTTAGTTGTCTAGTCAGGTGTAAAAGCACGGACTGGTCGTCTTGACCAAAATATGCGTCCAGGTAGGGGGATTTGTTTTTATGCGTGCCGTTACCTTGGAATCTGCATGTTAAAAAAAATCATGTTGGTAGGGGTTATATTCATATTATTTGAATTTGTTTTTTGTGTAGTGTTTTGTTGTCTTTCTGTCGTTCTTCTTTTTGATTTTATTGTTTTTAATTAATTGATATATCCTACCTCCTTTAAATTTCATATCTTTTAAAATCATTGTTAATTTGTTCTCATACTGAATATGCATGATATATTTGCCACTTGACGTTTAGCAAACAAAAACCAATCAGTCCGATTAAGAGATATGGACAATTTCTCCTTAATTTATGCATCACCTGGTCAAATTCAAAAGAAGTCTTTTACTAAATTTAACAGTATCACAGCCTGATGTGGGCAACTTGAGATTCTAACAACTCGCATGTTGTATTTCTGAGCATGTCACAAAATCATAAATGTCTAAATATACATAAACACTGAAAATGTATGATTCATTCGGACATTTTTATTTTTTATAAAATAAAGAAGAAAACATTCAATTTTTTCTTATCAGATATTGACCTATGTATTGTCCTTTAAAAACTTGTGAAATTCCGAATTTTTATTTAATTTGATACTTTGTATTGGGAGAAAACCAATGCGGCCTGTTCTTAAGCAACATGTCTGCCCTGATCAAGCATTCAATGTTTTTAAAGTGGGAGTCCAAATCTACGGTGGTCAATTTAAATTCACTCGCTTTAAGGTAGATCGGGAGTATTCCGCCATCTTGGATTGTAAGATAGTAGATAACAATCGGTATAGATTTTTAATGAATTGTGCAAATAAGAGTGGAATGTAAATGTAGTTCATTTGTAAGTCTTTTCATCTTAATGAAAAAAAGATATGTGTTTAATCTTATACTGCTTTAAGAAATACAATAAAATAATTCAACTTAGCCATATAAGGGGAAAGAACTCATATATTCTAACTTTTATAAAAGGAATATGTTGTAAACGTTAATTAAATTTACCCAGTTTGTTTAATAGAAAAAAACACAAAAATCAAAGCATCATGGATGTTGTGATTCAGCCAATTTTGTAGCTAGTCTGGCATTTTTTTCTGACCACACTTTCAATAATTATTTTATTATCTTCATTTCCATAATCTCACTGTAAAATTTCCATTCTATTGCCAAAAGATTAATGCAAATTATTTTGGTATTTCAATTCAAGACACTGTCAGATTTTTTTACATCTTTTTTTAGAAACATTTGAAATTCAATGATTTTGGACAAGAATGTTAAGGGAAATCTTCAAATGACTGTAGCATACTTTTTATATGCCATTAATAATAATTGGCTTAATAATTTCCAAAAAGAGCCATTAAAAATGCACTTTCTCAGCAACAACAAAAATAAATAATAATATTTTTATCTAAATAGGTGTTCATTCTTCATTAAGGAAAAATACATTTCCTGTATTGAAATACACATGTACAAATACCTCATGCTGAATTTATTCCAATTACTGTTAACTAGCATTATAATGGGGAATATACAAATACCTCATGCTGAATTTATTCCAATTACTGTTAACTAGCATTATAATGGGGAATATACAAATACCTCATGCTGAATTTATTCCAATTACTGTTAACTAGCATTATAATGGGGAATATACAAATACCTCATGCTGAATTTATTCCAATTACTGTTAACTAGCATTATAATGGGGAATATACAAATACCTCATGCTGAATTTATTCCAATTACTGTTAACTAGCATTATAATGGGGAATATACAAATACCTCATGCTGAATTTATTCCAATTACTGTTAACTAGCATTATAATGGGGAATATACAAATACCTCATGCTGAATTTATTCCAATTACTGTTAACTAGCATTATAATGGGGAATATACAAATACCTCATGCTGAATTTATTCCAATTACTGTTAACTAGCATTATAATGGGGAATATACAAATACCTCATGCTGAATTTATTCCAATTATTGTTAACTAGCATTATAATGGGGAATATACAAATACCTCATGCTGAATTTATTCCAATTACTGTTAACTAGCATTATAATGGGGAATATACAAATACCTCATGCTGAATTTATTCCAATTACTGTTAACTAGCATTATAATGGGGAATATACAAATACCTCATGCTGAATTTATTCCAATTACTGTTAACTAGCATTATAATGGGGAATATACAAATACCTCATGCTGAATTTATTCCAATTACTGTTAACTAGCATTATAATGGGGAATATACAAATACCTCATGCTGAATTTATTCCAATTACTGTTAACTAGCATTATAATGGGGAATATACAAATACCTCATGCTGAATTTATTCCAATTATTGTTAAGTAGCATTATAATGGGGAATATACAAATACCTCATGCTGAATTTATTCCAATTATTGTTAACAAGCATTATAATGGGGAATATACAAATACCTCATGCTGAATTTATTCCAATTATTGTTAACAAGCATAATAATGGGGAATATACAAATACCTCATGCTGAATTTATTCCAATTATCGTTAAATAGCATTATAATGGGGAATATACAAATACCTCATGCTGAATTTATTCCAATTATCGTTAAATAGCATTATAATGGGGAATATACAAATACCTCATGCTGAATTTATTCCAATTATCGTTAAATAGCATTATAATGGGGAATATACAAATACCTCATGCTGAATTTATTCCAATTACTGTTAAATAGCATTATAATGGGGAATATACAAATACCTCATGCTGAATTTATTCCAATTACTGTTAACTAGCATTATAATGGGGAATATACAAATACCTCATGCTGAATTTATTCCAATTACTGTTAACTAGCATTATAATGGGGAATATACAAATACCTCATGCTGAATTTATTCCAATTACTGTTAAATAGCATTATAATGGGGAATATACAAATACCTCATGCTGAATTTATTCCAATTACTGTTAACTAGCATTATAATAGGGAATATACAAATACCTCATGCTGAATTTATTCCAATTATTGTAAAATAGCATTATAATGGGGAATATACAAATAAATTTGTGACAGAAAATGCTGAGGTAAGACATGTAAGAGAGATAATTGTAACTTAAATAGACCTTAATTATTAACTTATGTCAGAAGATTATGACACTGATTTTACAACTATTGAGGTCAAAATTTGGTGTATTCAGTAAGATGTGTGATAAATTGAATACACAAATTCTTGACCTCAATACCTGTATGATTATCAACTGTCATGATATATTAATATAACTGTGGTCAATTAAGACTGCATTTGAGTGGAGTTTAATCCAAATAATACTTACACCTTTGAGTGTAATTGTTTGAAAATCGTGGCAGCTGTCCATCATACTGGTATTGTACCAACAATTTGATTTGCCTAATGCAAGAATGGGAATAATAGCATTTAAAAAAGTGTGGGAATCAACTCTGATATGAATACACATCTTGAACCAAATTTTATTCAATGGCTCACAGGAACATAAGATACTGATAAAACACTTTTATTATTCTTATCAACGGCTAAAATTTGATAAATCACATTTTCCACATTCATGTGACATTAATTAATAAATGGCAATTTAATATCAATTTTGATTTACACAGGAACTATATACTAGTACAAGTGTTTATCTAAAATAAAGAAGTTGTTCGCCCAACCTTTTCTTAATTTAAAGACAAATAACATATTAAAAGTTGGCAGTTGATGATTAAAATGGTGTATAAAGTTTCTGCAAGTCATAGAAACACATAATTATTTTCATGACATGTCTTCAACATTGAATTTTGCACCATCTCCAAAACCAGAGTGATCACATAGATCCAGCATGGCTGAATCAAAAAACCAGAGTTCAGTGACCCCGTTTTTTTTATTTTCTGAAAGCTTATTATAAGAGATGTCTTCTCATATTTTATCTTAAAATTCTATCGTTCAGTTTTTTCTTTCTATAAAACAAAGTTTGTTTAAGTATAGCGCATTCAAAATCTGTAGCTTAAAAAATACTGGTGACTCATACTTTTTCTAATTTGTTTGCGCTTAGTATAGAAAAGGGAACATTGGCTTTACCTCTTTAACCTGAAGGGAACTGACCTAAACATTGATTGATTGAGTGTTTGCTTTATGCCCAATGGTTGATTCAAATAGCTATCTATTCAAGGAAAAGTAAATTATCTAACCCCACACAAATGTTAATGTTGAACATATTTGTAAAAAGTAGTCTAGTTAAAGAGACTATGGTCTTAGTTGAAATTTGACGTTGAACGAGATTTCAGTCACAATGTGAGTACACTTTATAATGGTATTCATGCCTATTGACTTATTTGTTTTGTATTAATTTGTACTTGGAACTGATCTATGCATCAATCCTGTTCGAACTAATCTAGACAGTTCGTTTTTATATCGTCCTTTCACACAAATGTGACAGTCCCCGATTGGGGATGGGGAAGGAAGGTTGAGCGCTAACAAACATATCTAACCCGCCACATTATGTACCTATCCAAAGTCCGTACTTTGACCTATAGATATTGTATTGTGCTTGTTTTATGTTGTAATGTTACACCACTGTTTCAGGTTAGGATAAAGGTTGGCGCTTGTTAAAATATTTAAACCCGCTGCATTTTTATGCACCTGTACTAAGTCAGGCGCCTGTTGTTCAGTGGTTGTCGTTTGTTGGTGTAGTTCATAAGTGTTTCTCTTGTTTCTCGTTTTTTATATAGATTGGACCGTTGGTTTTCCTGTTTGAATTGTTGACTTGGATGGATAGTTGTCTCATTGACACTCATACCATATCTTCTTATTCATATCTGTAGTCCAGTCGTTATCATCACGTTTCCGTTTTTTACAATATTTTTTGCTACCACAGCCTGAATCAGGTTAAAAAGGTATTAGGGTGATCAGCTCTGAAAGAACGTGATAACTTAAACTACATATTAAATATTCCAACTTATCTTAAATCTAACAAGCAGGTTATTTCTTTTCACGTACAAAACAAAACATAGACATTTGGATATTTTTAAATGATTTATAATTGGTCAATTGAACAATACCAAAACATTGTCTCATAAATGAGATTTCTGATTGATCCTTAGAACTTATAACCAGACTTTTTCAAATATTGGTGATTTCAGGTTGGTTCCTATAGAACACGATAACTATACAGTGTCTAATAATGGTGATTATGATTGGTCCTCTGAATATGATAACCGGATATTACTGATAATGGGGATTTCTGATTGGTCCCTTGCGTATAAAACTCAGAAAAAGCCTGAAAATGTTGATTGATTTTTATTCTGCAAAAACAGGGCACAATCTTTGGCATAAGAAATGTACACAATTCAACCTTTTTAAGAGTTAAATTGGTTATCAGTCTTAAAGACAAAAAGTTCAAAAGGTTAGAAAACACACATTGTCACATGTTTGTTCCTTCATGGTTAATTGCTAGATACAAAAGCTGGGAATTTATTTGACGAAAACTAACCACCATCTATACTTAATTCCCTGAAGGACAAAATCATAAAAATAATTCATATATCAACAGAAAAACATACCACAAAATTTCCTAAATGTTTTTTTTCTATGTTTCATGTTTCTCATATTCCTATATACATTTGTATAAATAAATATTCATTTTATGTACACAATGTTTATAGTTTTGGCAATATTTACACAACAGTTTTTACTGCATGTGATTAAATTTAAAAAAAATTACTATAACAGACCAAAATTGATCTAGTTGTCAATTTTATTCCAATATTTCCTCTCTAGTCCACTTTTTCATCTTCACAATTTTTTTTTATAAAAGAGAGGCGAAAGATACCAAAAATGGAGATTCAAATTCACGAGTAAAAATAGACTGACAACGCCATTGCAAAAAATAAAAAAGACAAAAAATTAAACAACAGTACAGCCCTTGGATGGTGTAAACTTCCCAAAAAAAACGTGTATGGTGTAATGGTGTATGGCATATGGTGCAATGGTAGAAGGTGTATGGTGCTATGGTGTATGGTGTAAGGGGAATGATGTAATGGTGTAACGTGCGATCGGGAATGGTGTGAATGAATGGTGTACGACATTTAAAACTATGCAAAAATTGATGTATGTTTTGGTTAAAAATAAAATGAATTTACAAAATGACATTAACTGACATAAAGAACTGGTTTTTAATTTTATACTTTAATTTACAATATTGTGATCAAAATTCGTTTTTTAAAATAAATAAATAATTTTGTAGTCGCACGCTTTCTTTGAAATTAAATTGCATTATGGTGTAATGTGTAAGGTGTATGGTGCAAAGTAGTAACGTGTATGGTGTAATGGCACAGGGTGTAATGGTGTATGGTGAATGGTGTAATGGTGTATGGTGTCAGTGGGAAGTTTACACCATCCAAGGACTGTATACAAAACACAATATTGAAAACTAAAGATTGAGCACCAAAAACCCCACTAAAACTTGGAGGGAATCGCAGGTGCTCTGAAAAGATATGCAGATCATGCTCCAACAGTGACAAGTATAATTCAGAAGAATTACTCTACATGATTGTATGAATAGAAAAATGTAGTCTGACTTTTATCGGTAGCATTACATTGCTATCAAATATAAAGATGGTCGCTTTCTATGCACAAGGTCTTCTACAAATCTGTTTCTATGGTTATATGTGTATTTCTCATCAACTACAAAAATAACTGTTTGCCATACAAATGATGAGAACAACTTTATTTCTCTATTGCGTTAGAACATTGATTTGTTGTTCAATTTCTACCTCAACAGTCATTTCTGAAAATAAATAAAATAATTCACAAATCCAAAGATAAAATACGCTACTATTAAAAATTTTACTTTAAAAAATTGAAGTTTTACAGAAATACCCCTTTTTTACTGGACCAGTAGAAAAAAAAGCTGTGGCGACTATCATTCTATGGAACCTCCTCTTTACCCGAAATATATTCATATTCGAAAGACATAAAATTAAGTGTTTTATTAGATAATACTTATCAAGTCTGCACACTGATACTTTAGTCTGGATAAAACCCTTATTAACTTTGAGCACAACTTCAAACTGTTTAAAGCATATTTACCCGATATTTCTTTTTTAACCAATTTCACATCCTCATCTAAAATTGTATTAGCCAAAATATCCTTAAGCTCATCTGTATACAGCTTTTGTGGTTTGTTAAATTGGTCGAACCGTATTAAGAGGTCACTTAATATGTTACATAACTCGTTAAAACGTGTATCTCCAAGTTTAGCTGCCGTTGAGTGTTGTAGTTCATTCCTTGTAAGTCTTATGCGCTCAATATCATCTCCAACAGTTATGTCTGTAACCTGAATTTTCTGCCATTTCCCTCCCCATCCATTAGTTGGAATATGTTTTTTAAGTTTAAAGTGCTCCTGGTATAAGTGTGATATATCACAATCGCTTCTTGGACGTAGATTTGGTTTGTCTGGTTTTAAGAGGTCATATAAAGCATCAGCGAGAATATTCAGCACGATCATTCCCATCTTTGTAAAATTGATTTCCTCTTTGGTGAACTGAAAAGAAGATAATTGTAAGGAATGGTAATGTAAAATATGAAAAAGATATTATACAATAAGGTTTAACATAAGTTTTATTGAAATCAATTGTCAGTTAACTTAGTCAAGTACTCATAGAAGTTCCTAAAAGAATAAAACTTAAAAGTAAAATCAATGAGCTGGTACCTAGCATCTAAAAATAACTCTTGCTCAATTTTTTGGCACAACCAAATCTAGGAATGCTGTTCAAAATTATTATGAAAAACATCTTCCTCAGAAATATTTCAGCAATATTTTGTCTTGGTACCATAAACAGATAAAAAATTCGTAAGGGTTCCGCGGAACCCAGTGTCTCGCCTACTTTTGATGTTAATCGCAGGCTAAAAAAAAATGAGGAAAAAAATTAATAAAAATATTCCTCTTGATATATCTTTTGATTGTAAGAAGCTTCTCTCCAAGTTTGGTAAAAATCCAGGATAGTTTATGAATCTAATAAATGTTTTAAAAACTTTAACTGCAGACTGTATGTAATGTTAACTGAAAGTTAAATACGCAAAAACGGGTACAAAATTTTAACAAAATTTTCTTCTAGATACCAGCTTTTGATCATAAACAAGCTTCTGTACAAGTTTGGTAAAAATCCAGGATAGTTATTTGTGGACGCTGACGCCGCCACCTCGGACGGAATGTAGGATCGCTATGTCTCACTTTTTCAACAAAAGTCGAAGGCTCGACAAAAAGCACATGTTATGTTAAATCGGTTTTTTTTTATTATCAATGATAATGGAACAAAGTCAACTAAATACATTCATGTTTAAAAAAAATCAAACATAATGTTTAAATGGATCAAAAATGTAATATTTACCAAACATTTGAGGAATCTGGTCTTTTACATGATAATTCATGATAAGATGTTTGTTTCAAATAACTAATGCATAGCAGTATGACTATGAAAGGAGTAAGGTATGTACAGACCACATTTGACCCTGAACATTGGGTTCATTGTTTCAAGATCAACATATTTCATGTTCATAATGTTGATTAAAATACATACAGCGCAGGCTTTGACAAACTAAATATCTGAGTCGAATATGTTTATTGTTATAACAAATAAACATTATGTTAATAGACGTTTTTATTGACCAATGCGCTCTACGTTTCCGTTCCTAAAAACCAATGAAAATATGCGTGTTAACATTGAATTTTGTGTAAAATGTAAATTTGTACTATTTGCGACACCAAGAAATAATCTTAATGACCTATTTCATATCAAGTCATTGTTTTAGCTATGATTTATTGTGATATTGGTTAATACAACCTTATTTGAAATTTTAGCCAGAAATAGAAGCCATATAAAACAGTCTCGTTTGAAGCATACTGATTGCATTTAAGAAAACGTTTTTTTATTCTAAAATGCGTAATATATACAATATATAAATGACACATAGCTGAGAAGGTGATAGAGCAGATTTTTACCTCGAGAAAACATTGTCAACCGATGCCTGGTCAAGGTTGATAATGTTTTTTTTAAGGGTGCCAATCTGCTCTATCACCCTTTCAGCTATGTTTTATTTAATTCATTATACTGAATGTTCTATCATTTTTGTCTTTTGATTCAAGCACATAACGTTACAGTTATTAGAAAAACAACAAAAGTGAAGCAAGATATTTTTTTTTATTTTGACAGTCTATGAAAAGTTCTTAGGCCATAACGTAGAACTGCATCATGTTTTTTTTAAGTATTGATGTACATCCTCTTCATTGTCATTTTAATTATCGATTTTTGATTGCACGAGATGATGACATTCAAAAAATTGTCTCCTGCTGAGCCATGGGATAGAGTAAATTATCTCCTGCTGAGCCATGGGATTGAGTAAATTATCTCCTGCTGAGCCATGGGATAGAGTAAATTATCTCCCTCATATTTAACAATCAAAATCTGGCATTTTAACGTACAGTATAATAATAGTGGTTTACCGACCCAATGACAATTCACTTCTCACTTCCAAAAAAGTAATACTAGTTCAGTTTAGCTGTCTATGTATATTTATCAACCCAATGACAGTTACGTCCAATGTTGAACACACACTACTAACTTCACATGAATACTAGTACAGCACAGCTGTTAGTGTATGTTTATTGACCTGATGACAGTTACGTCCAATGTAGAACACACACTACTAACTTCACATGAATACTAGTACAGCACAGCTGTTAGTGTATGTTTATTGACCCAATGACAGTTACGTCCAATGTAGAACACACACTACTAACTTCACATGAATACTAGTACAGCACAGCTGTAAGTGTATGTTTATTGACCCGATGACAGTTACGTCCAATGTAGAACACAGACTACTAACTTCACATGAATACTAGTAACGTGCAGCTGTTAGTGTATGTTTATTGACCCGATGACAGTTATGTCCAATGTATAACACACACTACTAACTTCACATGAATACTAGTACAGCACAGCTGTTAGTGTATGTTTATTGACCTGATGACAGTTACGTCCAATGTAGAACACACACTACTAACTTCACATGAATACTAGTACAGCACAGCTGTTAGTGTATGTTTATTGACCCGATGACAGTTACGTCCAATGTAGAACACACACTACTAACTTCACATGAATACTAGTAACGTGCAGCTGTTAGTGTATGTTTATTGACCTGATGACAGTTACGTCCAATGTAGAACACACACTACTAACTTCACATGAATACTAGTACAGCACAGCTGTTAGTGTATGTTTATTGACCCGATGACAGTTACGTCCAATGTAGAACACACACTACTAACTTCACATGAATACTAGTACAGCACAGCTGTTAGTGTATGTTTATTGACCCGATGACAGTTATGTCCAATGTAGAACACACACTACTAACTTCACATGAATACTAGTAAAGTGCAGCTGTTAGTGTATGTTTATTGACCCGATGACAGTTACGTCCAATGTAGAACACACACTACTAACTTCACATGAATACTAGTAAAGTGCAGCTGTTAGTATATGTTTATTGACCTGATGAAAGTTTACGTCAAAAGCTGACCATATACTACTCACTCAACATAATAATACTAGTTCAGATAAAGTGTCTTTGTATGTTTTTATCAACCTGATGACAGTTGCTGAATACATCCTACTCACTTCACATGTGAGAAAATGTTTTACAATTGAGAATTGAGAGTCTACCAAAAAAAATGTAAAATCACAAAAATACCGAACGCCCAGGAAAATTCAAAACAGAAAGTCCCTAACCAATGGTAAAATCAAAAGCTCAAACACATCAAACGAATGGATAACATCTGTCATATTCCTGACTTGGTACAGGCATTTTCTTATGTAGAAAATGGTGGATTAAACCTGGTTTTATAGCTAGCTAAACTTCTCACTTGTTTGACAGTCGCATAAAATTCCATTATTTTGACAACGATGTGTGAACAAAACAAACAGGCATAATAGATATAAATGTCAAAAATTGGGGTACAGCGGTCAACATTGTGTTATAATCTTAATCACTATAAAAAACAAACAAATATGTAACAAAGAAACACAAAAAGGCATATAGACAAAACACATTAGTAAAAATGAAAGACAAGAATACAAGAATTTAACATAGCACAATTACCACAATAACGGGATGTATAAGTACTAAGATGACCGCATATGTCAAATTCAAAGTCTAATAAAATGCTCCGCAGGGCGCAACTTGATACGACCGCAGAGGTCGAACCCTGAACAGTTGGGACAAGTATGGACACAACATTCAAGCTTGATACAGTTCTGAATTTGGATTGTGATTAAATATTTGACACAGCATAGGTTTCTGACACAGAATGAATGTGGTATAAGAACTTAAAAATTTTAAATTGGACATTCACCTATTATGGTCCAATATCCAAAATCTAAATACATGGTTAGATTCAGCATATCAAAGAACCCCAAGAATTCAATTTTTGATGAAATCAAACAAAGTTTAATTTTGGACCCTTTTGACCTCAATGTGGACAAAGTTGATAACGGGGCCCAAAAATCAAAAATCTAAATACATGGTTAGATTCAGCATATCAAAGAACCCCATATATTCAATTTTTGTTGAAATCAAACAAAGTTTAATTTTGGACCCCGATTTGGACCAACTTGAAAACTGGGCCCATAATCAAAAATCTAAATACATGTATAGATTCAGCATATCAAAGAACCCTAAAAATTCAATTTTTGTTAAAATCAAACTAAGTTTAATTTTGGACCCTTTGGACCTTAATGTAGACCAATTTGAAAACGGAACCAAAAATTAAGAATCTAAATACACGGTTAGATTCGGCATATCAAAAAACCCCAATAATTCAATTTTTTGATGAAATCAAACAAAGTTAAATTTTGGACACTTCGGACCTCAATGTGGATCAATTTAAAAACGGGGCCCAAAATCCAAAAACTAAATACATGGTTAGATTCAGCATATTTAAGAACCCCAAGAATTCAAGAATAAAACCCCATTGAAATTGATCAAGAAATAAGCAATTTATACGAAGTATCTTCTTTTGCACAATACTGTGCAATTGAATATTTCTTGCTATTGTGCAATACTGTACAATTGACAATTTCTTGCTATTGCGCAATATTGTGCTATTGGATATTTCTTGCTATTGCGCAATACTGTGCAATTGAAGATTTCTTGCTATTGCGCAATACTGTGCAATTGAAGATTTCTTGCTATTGTGCAATACTGTGCAATTGAAAATTTCTTGCTATTGCACAATACTTATTTTATAATAATTTACACATCCTGTTTGGTGTGTATCTCCTACCATATCATTATTATTTGCTTTTAAATATTAATCAGAAATAACCAACTTTAAATGGAAAATTTTAAAAGAAAAAAAAAAAGGAAAAAAAGAAAAAAAAAGAAAAAAAAAATCCCCCCCCAAAATTTTTTGAACCCCCTTATGATTCATCACCCAGAAACTCAATCCGAGCCTTCCCTTTGTGGTATGGTACCTTG